CGGGGGGTCGGGAGCCGGAAAGGGTCGGTCGCGGCGGCGGGGCTGCCCCAGGATCAGCCGGACACTTGCCGGCTGGGCTGGGTCGGGGTCTGGGGTCAGGGGTCGCAGAGGGCCGGCCTCTCCAAGGTGGGCAGCGCGATGAGACTGGGCGGGCCGAGCCTAGCCTGCCCGCCTCTCTCAGGGCAGAACCAGGCCGGCAGCGCCTCGGCGTCGCCCGGGAGGTGGGAGGGCCCTGGGGCGGCTCGGCCTCCTGACTCCCAGTTGGGTGGGATGGGCTCTCTCCGCCTTGGCCGACTGCCGGGCGGCTCTGCCTCCGGGGGCACGGACCGTTCACTTGCACGCCCCTCCTCTGACCCCCAGTGCCTCTGGTCTGGAGCCTCCGGCCCCTGTGCCGTGTCTGGTCCAGGAGGCTGGGTGGGATGCAGAAGAGGAATGGGGTTCAGGGACTACTTCTTGAAGAGGTGGTGTCTGAGCTGGAACTCGAAGGACTTCAGGAGGAACCGTGGGGAGGAGAGAGAAGGTTCCTGGCAGAAGGCCTGCATCTTCATGCCTGCAAGCCAAGCCCTGGGTTGGGGATCAGTGTGGTGCCTGGTGCAGATGGCCAGGAGGTCCGTCTAGGGTCAGCGCCTATGTCTGAGAGCCCTTCAGCCCAGAGGGTAGGAGAAAGCAGCCTGGCAATGACATCAGCAGCAGTCGGGAGACAGTGGCGCTGGGGAGCGCACTTGGTGTGCCAGGCCCTGCACAGCCCTGTGTGTGTGTGATCTCACTTCCTCTCAGCAGCCCACCGAGGTTTCTCTCCTATTGCTCCCATCTGTAGAGTGGAGTCAGGGCGGAGTTTGAGTGCCTGGTCTGAGACCCCACAGAGGGATTGGGACACGCACCCTGGCTAACCCAGAGCCAAGCTGTGGGCTCAAATCCCAGTGGCAAGAGGGCAGTGCATGTCATTGGGGGTGGTGGAGGTGGCTGTGTGGTCAGACTGGGGCTGAACCTTGAGCCTGAGGGTGGGGTTGAGCACCCCCTGCGCCTACCCCAAGCTACCCTGCCTCTTGTCACCGCAGCAGCCACTGTCACCATCCAGGACCTGGATTTTCTCTCCTCTTTGCCTGTCTTCTTGCTGAGCCTCCACCTGCTGGACCCTGCACTTTCCAGACGCTCCTCAGTGCCTGTCCACTCAGCACTCGCTCCTCCTCTCTGCTCCACCTGTCTGCATATCCATCCAGTCGCCCTTGGTCATGAGCACGTCTCTCCCTCCAGAAAGGGAGTGCTTGTGGGCAAGGACCAGTTGTCCTCGTCCTGCAGTCTGCACGTGTCAGGTTCACTGTGTTGTTCAGGCCCAGAAAGAGAGCCATCTGCTTCAAGGCTTGTGGGGAGGGGGCAGTGAGGAGGGCCTGTCATCTGGAGCAGAGCGTTGCATGCGATCCAGGGAAACAAGGATGGCCAAGGGGCTGCACCAGGGTAGGGCCCTGGGCTGGGTGCCAGGGTAGGGGCTGCATGAGTAGAGTGGGCTTGGCAGCTGACGATGTAGGGAGGGCTGAGGAGGCAGAGACCGCAGGCAGAGGACAGGTAGGAGGCATGCTGATGGTGGTGGCAGCTGAAGGGAACGTCAGGGAGGCAGAAGGAGTCATGGGTGGGCTCCATGACAAACTGGTTGGAGCCACACGGGCTTGGGCACCCCAGGTGTGTGTGGACTCTGAGCAGGACAGGGGAGAAGGCTGGAGCCCACAATGCCTGCTCACCCGGAGTGGCCAGAAGGAATAAGTCTCAAGACATCCACTGCAACAGGGGTGGGAGGACCGTGGAGCCCCCTAACCACTGCCTTCTTGGGTTGGAGCTGGTCAGCTGCTGGCAGGCCACCCTCAGGGTCTCCCTTGGTAGGACTGGTCCATCTCTGTGAGGAACAAGCCCACAGGCTGGAACTTTGACTGTGGGGCCCAGGGCAGAGTGAGGTGGTGGGGAAGTCTGAAGCAGAGTGGGGGTCGGTGGGTCCCTGCTTCACCATTTGATATCTCTGTGACCTTGTGCCAGTCTTTAGGCCCTCAGCACCCCAAGTTCCCCATCTGGGAATGGGATGAGTCACACAGACCTTCCAGGCTCCTGTGAGCACAAGATGGACACACACGTGAAACCATTCGTGTGAGAGGCTCTGGGAAGTGATGGGTGTCTTGTTCATGCTGAGCAGCAGGTGTGTGGACGCCTGCAGGCACCTCAGCAGGAGGTGGAGGTCCCCCTACGTGCTGGCAGGCCTAGAACATTGGGGCAAGACACAGGGTCTTTTGGGTTCGGTGGAGAGGGTAAGAGTAGGGGGTGTCTTGTCCTTGGCCTGGATCTGGACATCCCGTCTGAGCTGCTGGATGCAGGGCCTGGGTGCTGAGCCCGAGTCCTGCCTGAGGGAGCATTCTGGCTTCATGCTACTACCTGGCAGACTGCTCCAGGCAGGAGGGCAAGGGGTGGCTGGTGGGACCCCTTCATTCATCTCAGAGGGTGCAGACTCCTGCCCTGGTGAGTGGAGGGGGCCCAGCTCTGGGGACATAGTGGGGGCTGGAGAGACCACCGGTGCCCCATTCCTGGCCCAGGAGGGCCCGGACGGTGGTCAGCTGATTTAACACAGTCTGGCCAGTACTGGGGTGTGTCTTTCGGGGCAGGAAATGTGTTCAAGCTGACCAGGTAGTAAGTGCACACTTTCCACCCCCCAATATCTGGGGAAAAGACCTTCTATCCCATGGCCTGGCCTCTTTCAGTCTTGACTTGCTGAGCTGGCCACATTCCTGGGCCCCATGTACTCTCCCCACCCATGTTCCTGCCCTCCCTCTGGAGCAGGTTGGGGCTGTTTGGGATGGCCTCAGCTGTCTCCCCGCCCCACCCTGGGAGCCTGAAGGGTCCAAGGCCTTGGGTCAGAGCCAGTCTAGTCTGACTGGAGGAAGTCAGAGAGGCTGCGGCCCCTCTGCACATGGCCTGCTGCTGTGGCTGGCTGGGAGTGGCCTGTGTGTTGAGGTTTGGGAGGGTGGAGCAGCAGGAAGGTGCTGTCCTTCCCACAGTTGGGCTCATCTCAGGGCGTGTGCGGCGGGGCAGGAGGGGAGACAGCCATCCTTCCTTGCCTCTGCCCGCAGCACATGCTGGCTGGGGCCGGCCCAGGCGTCGGAGCCTGGCACTGGTGATGGTGTTGCAGGCAGATGACAGATGCGAGCTCTGTGTTCTCCCCCATGGGGCTGGCTGTGGGGACGTGGCGCGAGAGGAAGCTCTAGTCCCTGTCTGTGTCTCAGGGGACCTTGGTGCCCTTCCTCCTGGGGCCCCCCCGTAGAGCACCCTGCTGTGCTGCACGGCTGTGCTGGTTGGATTAGCCCTGTCATTGTAGGGTGGGGGTGTCTACCCCCAGGTGGGACAGCTCTGGTGGGACAGGGAATTCAGCTTCTGTAGGTTGCCTCCGTGGCCACAAGGGCTCAAGTGGGTGGGGACACTGGGAGATGTGGCAGAGCCCCGCCCCCATCCCAGGAGGCAGGCCAGCAGCCTGGTTGCCGCCTGGCCCCAGTTAGCACAGAGCTGAGATGTAGGCTGGGGTCTCAGAGAAGGGTGGGGGAGACCGGGGGGTCAGGCCCCTCCAGGGGGCACCCATCTTGGGAGGGCCTCTGTGTCCTGGTGTGCCTCGGGGCTCCGGAAGCTGCCCTGCACTTCTTACTGAAGAACATGTTTGCTTGTGGGGTGTGAGTGGAGCTGGGTGTGGGAGGATGGTGGTGGAGCCGGCTGTGTGTGTTCAGCAAGCCCTGTTCAGCCACGGTCCGTGCCAGGCACAGAGATGCAGCTTCCAGCTCGTGGAGCTCCTGTCTGGCCCAGCTGGCCAGCAAGTGCCCCCGGAGTCACAGAAGGGTGCAGTAGAGGTGGGAGGTCCTGGGGGTGCCGCTGCAGGCCCCAGGCTTGGGCAGGGGGCAACGAGCTGCCTCGAGGAGGGGACACTCTTTGGGCTGAGACCTGAGGGCCAGTTGGGCACTGTCATGGCCCACAGAAGGAGCCAGCAAGGGACACTCACTGCCCTGCCTGGTCACCTGCCTCCATAGGCAGCTGGGACAGCTCAGGGAAAGCCTTCACTTGGTCCTTTAGAGGGTCCTGGAGCCCTGCAAGTGGGGTTTCATACTTGAATGAGGCAGGGAGGGTGGGCAGTGGCCAGTGGCCAGCCACTCTGCCCGCTTCCCTGTGGGGAGAGGCTGCGGAAGGCTGCCTGTCCCCCGGCTTTGGGACAGGCTGTGGGGCAGAGGGTACGTCCCATCCACACATACCCCTCTTCCTCAGTCTGCTGCCTCACGGCAAGAACTGGGTGAGCCCTAGGTAGGTGCCAGCTGGGCCGCGCCCAGTGGTGGTTTGGGGCCGCACACCAGTCAGCCCCTGGGGGAGTGGAGGGGAAGGAGCTGTGGGTCAGGGTGAGCCAGCTTGGGCCTATTGACTGTGGCCCTTGGGGGTGGGCCTGGAGGGACCCCGTGTGCTGCATGTGCACGTGTGTGGCACCAGCAGACACCTGTCCTCCCCCACCTTGTCTTGTCTGCCACCTCTTCTCAGTGTCAGTGGTAAAAGGGGGAGGGGAGCAGGAAGCTGAGGTTTTGTGAGTCAGAGTCATGGTCCCTCACCCCCCCTTCTCCCAGGCTGCCTGTTGCTGACCTCCTTCCGTGATCCTGGAGGGTGGGTGGTCGCCTAAGAGTGCGTGTAACCCAGCTCCTCTGCCTTCCAGGGGCCTAAGGAATGCCTCCTGCTGGGGCCTGCCTGCCTGTGCCCAGGCCCCCAGCTCTGTCTGAGGCTCCTGTGCCCATTCAGGTCCTGGTAGACCAGGCTGGCTGGACGTGAGGCTGCATGTGACAGGTCCTCCAAGTCTGCACTTGGTGGGTTTCTGGGCCTTGGGCGGCCCTTCCCCTTACCTGTCTGCCCCTGCTTTTCTGCTGGCGTGGGCAGCAGCGTCGAGGCTGGTGGTGCCTGCTGGTCATGTGTGGGAGGTGAAGGTGGGGAGGCTCTTGTCTGTTCCTGCTTCGCCCTGCTTCCACGCTGGGTGGGAGCTTGAGGAAGAACGGAGACCCATGTCCATCCTCCACGAGGCCTGTGAGGGGTGCTTCCCTGACGTGGCCCTCATCATGCCCCCAGGTTTGGCTCCGCAGAGGGTGAGCAGGAGGCAGGGGCCTCCAGCTGGCCCGGCCACCATGGACTGGATCTGGGAGCAGTGCCCTGCCCATGGAGTGGGCGAGAGGAGATCAGATGGGACTTAGCGGGCCCTGTGGCTTCAAGGAGTTGGGGGGGGGTCCTCTGGGGAACACACTGGGACATGTGCCCCTACCCCCGGCCCTCCACCCTGGTCCAGGGGACCCAGGGCTGCACGCGGTGACCTGTGCAGGCAGGGAGCAGGCCTGTGCCACCACATTCAGTGCCCATGACGGCACTCCTGTCCTTCCTGCCAGCTGCCACTGTCTCTGGCTGTCTTCTGGGACCTTTGCTGGGCCCATCTTGTCAGAGGCAGTGAGGACAAGCAGCAGTCTGGGACAGAAACAACAGGTGTGAGAGCTCCACACCTCTCGCTCACTGTCCAGCAGGCCAGGGGGTCGTGGGGACTGCGTGCCTAGGCTGGGGGTTGGCTGTGAAACAGTCTGGAACAACTGTCCTCTTCCTGGAGGGGCAGGTGCCGTGCAGCTGGGCTGGCATGCTGGCTATGGTTCTGGCTGAGGGAGTTGATGCGGTTGGGGGCGTGAGGGCAGGAACAGGGAGTGCACGGCCCTCCCTCCAGGCTGGGGCTTCTGTGCTCTGGTGCCTGGCCCAGCCCCAGGCCTGCAGGGGGCCTGACCCTACAGCAAGGGCTTCTCCCTGTGCCCTCTGGTGGCCCTGGGCTCTGTGGCTGCCTTGTGGCCTCTCCTTAGAGAAACTGTAGGTCTGGGAGCTGAGGCTGGTCTGGTGCCAGGGTGGGGGAGATGTTTCCACTCGGGGCTTTGAGGCTCCTGAGTGGGTGGGGGTGTGGGAGGTGGTGGCGCTCTGACCCCCTGTCCTGTCCTCAGGGAGTGGGGAAGGCCAGGGCCAGATCCTGCAGCGCTTCCCAGAGAAGGACTGGGAGGACAACCCATTCCCCCAGGGCATCGAGCTGGTGAGTGAGGGGCACTCCCGCAGGGCCCTGCGCTGAGGAGGGGGTGCTGAGATGGCGCGGGGCGGCCTTGCTGGACTAAGAGGACCTGCCGCAGTGCCTGGCTCTACCACCAGAGGGAAGTCCTGTCATGGTGTCCCCTCGTGGTGGTGGGGCCCATGTCCTGCGTCACAGGGTCCTCGCCCCACACAGGGAGGCCTGAGGCCGTTGCTCCCTGTTATGGTGGAGGGACTGAGGGCCAGGAGGCACCCAGGTCACGGAGCAGGGTGCTGCCTGCTCACTGGAATCTGGCATCCGGGCGCTGGCTCTGCAGTCACTCGAGGGCAAGGGGTTAGAGGGAGCCGACTGCTGACTCTGGCCCCTTCCTCACCAGTTTTGCCAGCCAAGTGGGTGGCAGCTGTGTCCTGAGAGGAACCCGCCAACCTTCTTTGTTGCTGTCCTCACCGATATCAACTCTGAGCGGCACTACTGCGCCTGCCTGACCTTTTGGGAGCCTGTGGAGCCCACGCAGGTCAGCCTGCCCAGCGCTGAGCTTCCGGCTGGGGCCATTGTCCTCTGCTTGCATGTGTGCCCCAGCTGTGTCTGGTCCTGATGCCCTGCCTCATGGAGGCTGGACTTCCCAGAGGGCCAGTCCTGTCTGAGCACCTGTATCCTCCCCTGGGCTCAGGCAGCGTGCCTGAGAGTGGGGCTGACGGGGATTTTGTCCACAGGACGGGTTGTGCACCCAGGACGCCGCCGAGAGGGAGGAGGAGGCCGATGAGGGAGGCCCAGTGCGACCGTCACCCACGGCATCTGGCTCCCCGGGCCAGCTGTTTGCTCCGAAGACGCTGGTGCTGGTATCTCGACTGGACCACGCGGAGGTGTTCAGGGTGAGGTGGGCAGCCAGGGCTTAAGGCTGGACATGGGGTGCTCCCACCGGCAGTGCCATCCTCATCCCCCACTGGTGGTCCTTGCAGAACAGCCTTGGTCTCATCTACACCATCCACGTGGAGGGCCTGAACGTGGGCCTGGAGAGTGTGGTGGGGAACCTGCTGACGTGCATCATCCCCCTGGCCGGGGGCTCGCAGGTGGGTCGGGGCAGCTGCTGCCCACCCGCAGCCATAGGCCTTCCTGGTGCCCAAGGCCATGGGGTGGGGCCTGGGAGGCCCCTGGAATCCAGCCTGGGCTGAGCACGGCCCCAGCCTGGGATGCTCTCCTACATCTTGGTGCCGCCACCTGTCAGCTTGTCTTGGCCCTGCGCTCTCGCCTGTGTGCTATGTCTCGCCTGGCTCTCTTCCTGACCCACTTTGGTCCCTCTTGCCCTCTTGCTCCTCGGGTGTGCCTGTCTCTGGATGTCGGCGTCAGCTTATCCGTCCATCCCTGGTCTGTGCCCTTGCGTGGGTGTGTCTAACTGTGTCTCTCTGCCTGTCTGTCCTGTGCAGCTGGACTCTGTTGAGGACGGAGTGGTACGGATTCTTTGTTTCTTCTGCCCACCCAGACCCCGTCCCTGCCCCAGGTCAGAGGCCCTGAGTTCTCTCTGCAGCACTGCGGGGGCCTACAGAGGCTGGCGTGGCTGTCCCTCCTGCCATGCTGCCCGCCCTGGCCAGGCGCACTTATCAGTCCCCTAGGCGTGACCGAGGCTGTGAAGCTCTAGGCTCTTGCAGGTCTGGTTGGAGCAAGTGAGCACTGGTCTCTCTCTCTCCACAGAGAACCATCTCTTTAGGAGCTGGTGACCGGCAGGTCATCCAGACCCCACTCACCGACTCGCTGCCTATCAGCCGCTGCAGCGTGGCCCTGCTTTTCCGCCAGCTGGGTGAGCCAGCCACCTACCCACAGTCCTTCCTCTCCTGCCCTGGGGCTGGTGGGCACACGCGGATGTCTCCCTGCTGGGGCAGTGCCAGGATCTCTAAGCTGTCCGTCCCGCAGGCATCACCAACGTGCTGTCCCTGTTCTGTGCTGCGCTCACGGAGCACAAGGTGCTCTTCCTGTCCCGGAGCTACCAGCGCCTCTCCGATGCCTGCCGGGGGCTTCTGGCACTGCTGTTCCCTCTTAGATACAGGTACTCACTGCCGCCCCTCCAACCACCCGCCCACAGCCCCGCCTCCTGCCTGCCCTCTGTGGGCCCGGCCGCACTGAGCCTAGTCCCGTTGCAGCTTCACGTATGTGCCCATCCTGCCGGCGCAGCTCCTGGAGGTGCTCAGCACGCCCACACCCTTCATCATCGGAGTCAACGCCGCCTTCCAGGCAGAGGCCCAAGAGCTGGTGAGGGCCCTGCTTGGTGTACACCTTGCTGCTCCAGGCCCTGCTGACTGGCCTGTGGGTCCCTGACCCCGCGTCCCGTTTGGTCCACAGCTGGATGTGATTGTTGCTGATCTCGATGGAGGGACAGTGACTGTCCCTGAGTGTGTGCACATCCCACCCCTGCCGGAGCCACTGCAGAGTCAGACGCACAGTGTTCTGAGCATGGTGAGGGAGGGCCGGGGCCTCAGGGAAGCTGGGTGGGGTCACTTGGTGGCAGGAGGCCTGGAGCCCGGGGCAGGTATGCAGCCGACTCCACTTCCTCTGCCTGGACAGGTCCTGGATCCAGAGCTGGAGTTGGCCGATCTTGCGTTCCCTCCACCCACAATGTCTACTTCCTCCCTGAAGATGCAGGTGGGGGTCACTGCCATTCTGGTGGGGGGCCTATGGCCATCCATGCCCTCTCCTCAGGTTTACTGCCGCTGCTGGCTGCTGGTAGTGCCGAGCACTCCTCCAGGGGCCGGGTGTGGAGGGTGTGAGCCTCGGAGCATCCTGTGCAGGCGTGCCTGTCAGCACCGTCTTAGAGGAGGCTCTGTGGCTTTGTGTGGAGGAAGATTGGAGGGGCAGGAGAGACAGAGGTGCCTGGCCAGTGGAGTGCCTGGCACTCACCTGCACTCACCTATGCCCCAGGATAAGGAGCTGCGTGCTGTCTTCCTACGGCTCTTTGCTCAGCTCCTGCAAGGCTACCGCTGGTGTCTGCACATGGTCCGCATCCACCCGGAGCCTGTCATCCGTTTTCATAAGGTGGGCGCCAGGCAGGGGTGGGGTGGGGAGAGGTGAGAGCCTCCGGTGCTGACCCATTCGTGTTCCCCAGGCGGCCTTCCTGGGCCAGCGCGGGCTGGTGGAGGACGACTTCCTGATGAAGGTGTTGGAGGGCATGGCCTTCGCAGGCTTCGTGTCGGAACGCGGGGTCCCCTACCGCCCAACAGACCTATTTGATGAGGTGTGCCCCTACCACAGCTGGGAGGAGCCCCCACCACCATCTCCTCGCCAGCCCACCTGACCCTGCTTCCTCCCCCAGCTGGTGGCCCACGAGGTGGCAAGGATGCGGGCAGACGAGAACCACCCTCAGCGTGTCCTGCGTCATGTCAAGGAACTGGCGGAGCAGCTCTACAAGAACGTACGGCGGGTGACACAAGGGGTGGGCGGGTCTGACGAGGTCACTGTGCCCCCAGCCACTTACCCACGCCTGCCTGTGTCCCCCCAGGAGAACCCATACCCCGCTGTGGCTATGCACAAGGTGCAGAGGCCAGGGGAGGCAAGCCACCTGCGGCGGGCGCCCCGGCCCTTCCCCCGGCTGGACGAGGGCATGGTGCAGTGGATAGTGGACCAGGCCGCGGCCAAGATGCAGGGCGCACCCCCGGCCGTGAAGGCTGAGAGGAGGACCACTGTGCCCTCAGGGCCCCCCATGAGTGCGTATTGGGGATGAGAGGGCCCTCAAGTGTGGCCTGGGTGGGGCGTGAGGTCAGAGGTAAGTGTGATCTCTGGTTCCCAGCTGCTATCCTTGAGCGGAACAGCGGGCTCCATGGCAACAGCGCGCGCCGGCTGGAGGTGGTCCGCAACTGCATCTCCTACGTGTTTGAGGGGAAGATGCTCGAGGCCAAGAAGGTGAGGGCACCCCAGGAAGTGCCGGGGTTCCGGGGTTGGGGACAACCTGGGCCAGAGCAGTGGCTTTCAGAGGAGCCCTGGCCCTTGTTCACCTGCTGCAACCGGAGGGAGCCGGACCAGCAGAAAGGCAGGTGGATGCCAGAACAGCTTCCTGGGAAAGCTCAGCAGAGGGAATTTACTTTAACTTTCAGTTATCAGAAAACCCTGAAGTTTCCTGCTGTTGAGTTTCTTTTTTTTTTCTTTTTTTCTTAAACGGAGGTCCTTGAACCCAGGACCTCATGCATGTTAAACACGTGGTCTATCACTGAGCTATACCTCCCTCACTCAAGTTTCTCCCTTATCCTTGGCAAAAAACAACGTAAACCCACACGGGTCATTTATCTGTGGAGTATACTTACAAATTCGCCCTCTGAGGTGCTCACTGACACCTCAGGTCTCACGGCAGCCGCTGTGAGTCTGCCTCGTGTTTCGTGGCTGTGTGGTCCCATGTGAATCACCTAATTCTTATACCTGCCCCTTATTGGGGGCCTGCAGGGTTCCAGTTGTTTTACAGTGGATGGTAGTGAGCACGAGACAAGCCTGGCCCCTTCTCTGCCGGCCCAGTGCTGAGCCAGCTGCTTGCTCTGTGTTAGGGTTCTGCTTTCTAGACACTGAGTCCCTGATTGGCCGAGCGGCTCAGGGCCCCGAAGCCGGTGCTTGCTGAGCTAGGGCCGTGGGGCCTCACCCGGAGCGTGCCATGAACTCTGCGTGGGGAGGGCTGGGTCCAGTAGAGTGTTGGTGCCTCCTGGGCAGTGAAGCTCTGGAGTCTGGGCACACCTCACCCAGATGGCTGCGGGGTGTCCTCTTGGAACCTGGGCTCTGGCCTCCCGTGTCTGTGCCAGGCCTTTTCTCTGCCTCCCTCCAGCCCCTCCAAGAGGTTGGATCTATATTCGGCTCATGTCTTCCTTCCGTTTCCCTGTCCCCAGCTGCTTCCAGCTGTGCTGAGGGCACTGAAGGGGCGTGCAGCCCGCCGCTGCCTTGCCCAGGAGCTGCACCTGCATGTGCAGCAGAATCGGGCTGTCCTGGACCACCAGCAGTTCGACTTCGTTGTCCGCATGATGAACTGCTGCCTGCAGGTGAGACTGGGCCTCCACCTACTGGCATTGTGGCTGCAGGGTTGGGGTGTGCAGGGTTCCCTAGTCTTCTGGGAACGCCAACAACTAGGGAGACATTGGTCTGCTGTTGAGGGTGGCGTGGGGAGAACTCTTGTTGGAGGCTGGTGTGGGAGTCTCCTGCCCCCGATCTCTGAGCAGCCCTGAGGACCTGGTGGAGATAGTTCAGGGACACTGTGGGAGGTGCTGCCCTGTCGGCGGTGCCAGTCGGGTGGGATGGGCACTGGGACAGGTTCCAACAACCCGGCTCTGCTGCAGGACTGCACCTCCCTGGACGAGCACGGTGTCGCAGCTGCCCTGCTGCCCCTGGTCACGGCCTTCTGCCGGGTGAGTGCCGGGTGGCACAGCATCTCCCCTGCCCCTCCCGCTGCACCCACTGACTCCCACTCGGCCTCTGCAGAAGCTGAGCCCAGGGGTGACGCAGTTTGCGTACAGCTGCGTGCAGGAGCACGTGGTGTGGAGCACGCCGCAGTTCTGGGAGGCCATGTTCTACGGGGATGTGCAGACTCACATCCGGGCCCTCTATCTGGAGCCTGCCGAGGACCGAGACCCCTCTCAGGTGCGAGGGTGCTCCCTGGGCCCGGGGCAGTGGCGGGCCTGGCCCTGGCTCACCTGCAGCCCTGTGGCAGGTCGGGGAGGTGCCTGGATGGGAGGACGAGCGCTCGGCCCTGGACGTGGCATCTGAGCAGAGGCGCCTGTGGCCCACCCTGAGCCGCGAGAAGCAGCAGGAGCTGGTGCAGAAGGAGGAGAGCACAGTGTTCAGCCAGGCCATCCACTATGCCAACCGCATGAGCTACTTGCTGCTGCCCCTGGACAGCAGCAAGAGCCGGCTGCTGCGGGAGCGTGCAGGGCTGGGCGACCTGGAAAGCGCCAGCAACAGCCTGGTCACCAACAGGTGGGGTGCGGCCGGGGCTGGGACCTGGGCGGGACGGCCTCGTGTGGGCGGCCGTGCCCACTGTGCCCTTCCCTGGCCCAGCATGGCGGGCAGTGTGGCAGAGAGTTACGACACGGAGAGCGGCTTCGAGGACGCAGAGACCTGCGATGTGGCGGGGGCCGTGGTCCGCTTCATCAACCGCTTCGTGGACAAGGTCTGCACGGAGAGTGGGGTCACCAGCGACCACCTCAAGGGGCTGCATGTCATGGTGCCAGGTACGGGGTCCGGGCCTGTAGACACTCCCCTTGGATGGGTGGGCGGGGGCCAGGGCATGAAAGCTGCTCTCCCCTAGACATCGTCCAGATGCACATCGAGACGCTGGAGGCCGTGCACAGAGAGAGCAAGAGGCTGCCCCCCATCCAGAAGGTGAGTGGGGGCCGGGGGCCTGTGGGCACTGGGGCCAGGCTGTGTCCTGAGGCGCCACTCCTGTCCCTGAGCAGCCCAAACTGCTTCGGCCACGCCTGCTGCCCGGCGAGGAGTGTGTGCTCGATGGCCTGCGTGTCTACCTGCTACCCGATGGGCGTGAGGAAGGTGCCGGGGGCAGCGGGGGCGGCCCCGCACTGCTTCCAGCTGAGGGCGCCGTCTTCCTCACCACATACCGGGTCATCTTCACGGGGATGCCCACCGACCCCCTGGGTGAGCCTTTGGCCCCTTCTGCCTGTGCACCCCATCCCGGGGTGAGTGGGGCTTTCTCTGCCCCGCCCTCTGCCGTCCTCAGGGCTGCAGGGTCTCTGTGGGACACAGCCTGTGGCCTGCTCCCCCCCACCTGCCTGGGCTACCCTGGGACTCTGTGACCCCTCCCCTTCCGTCCCCTGACTCTGGCCCGGCCTGTCACAAGTGGGGGAACAGGTGGTGGTCCGCTCCTTCCCGGTGGCCGCGCTGACCAAGGAGAAGCGCATCAGCGTCCAGACGCCTGTGGACCAGCTCCTGCAGGACGGGCTGCAGCTGCGCTCCTGCACCTTTCAGGTCAGCCGGGCGCGGGCACTCCTGGGGTCTGTGGGCACTCCGGGAGGGCAGGTGTCTGAGCCCTGGTTTCACTCTCACGAGCCAGCTTGAGCCAGCGTTGAGCCTTTTGTGATCCCTGAGTTTACGGGAGTCCCTGTGCGCTGGCTGGGTGTCCTCCACCTGTGCGATGTGCCAGCCTCTGAGGTTTTCCCGTTTCCTAGTGAGGCCCTAACCCTAGAACCTGTGGACTGTGTTGTATGAGCCCGGCCCAACTGAAACACACAGATGAATGAATCGTGGTCAGAGCTTGGGCTCCTCAGCCGCGACCGTGTGCAGCTCTTCTGACCCTCTGTCCTTGGGGCGCCCCCTCAGGAGGTGTCTGATGCAGCACAGGAGGTCCCACAGGCCCACCTGCCTCTGTGGTCAGGGCCCAGGCCCTGGGGCTACCCAGCCGCTGAGGTCCTTCTGTCTGGTGCAGCTGCTGAAGATGGCCTTTGATGAGGAGGTGGGGTCTGACAGCGCTGAGCTCTTCCGCAAGCAGCTGCACAAACTGCGGTACCCGCCGGACATCAGGGGCACCTTCGCGCTCACCCTGGGCTCCGCCCACACACCTGGCAGGCCACCCCGCACCACCAAGGACAAAGGTCCTTCCTTCAGGTGTGGAGCTGAGTGCCGAGGCCAGGGAACCCACCCTTCCCAGAACCACCGTGTGCACGTCCCCACGTCCACCCTTCTCACCTCTGCTGACCCTGCGCCTGCCCTAGGACGCTGTCCCGGAACCTCGTGAAGAACGCCAAGAAGACCATCGGGCGGCAGTATGTCACTCGGAAGAAGTACAACCCGCCCAGCTGGGAGCACCGGGGCCAGCCACCCACTGAGGACCAGGAGGATGAGATCTCAGGTGGGGGTGTGGGGAGCCCTCGGCCATCTGGTGGAGACCCCCATGTGGAGGGTGGGGGCCGGGGTGGTCTGTGGGTGCAGACCCCCGTGTGTGCCTGGCCCACCCCAGTGTCAGAGGAGCTGGAGCCCAGCACGCTGACCCCTTCCTCGGCCCTGAAGCCCTCGGACCGCATGACCATGAGCAGCCTGGTGGAGCGGGCATGCTGCCGCGATTACCAACGCCTGGGCCTGGGCACACTGAGCAGCAGCCTGAGCCGGGCCAAGTCTGAGCCCTTCCGGATCTCCCCGGTGAACCGCATGTACGCCATCTGCCGCAGGTGAGCGTGGCCGGCAAGTGAGCACCGCGGGTGTAAGGAGGCTGCAGGCCTGGGGGGTGCCCAGCCACGGGTCCAGGTGTGCCTTGGCCTGTGAGCATGGGGGAGGGCCCCTCTGCCTCCCCTCACATCCGCCTCCCCACAGCTACCCCGGGCTGCTGATCGTCCCCCAGAGCGTCCAGGACAATGCCCTGCAGCGCGTTTCCCGCTGCTACCGCCAGAATCGCTTCCCCGTGGTCTGCTGGCGCAGCGGACGCTCCAAGGCCGTGCTCCTGCGCTCAGGGGGCCTGCATGGCAAAGGGGTCGTTGGCCTCTTCAAAACCCAGAACGCGCCATCTCCAGGTACCCTGCTCCTCAAGTCCCCTGCACCCTGTCCTGCCCCCATCCGACCCACTGCGCTCTGCCTCCAGCTCCACCTCCTCCTGCAGGCCAATCCCAGGCGGACTCAAGCAGCCTGGAGCAGGAGAAGTACCTGCAGGCTGTTGTCAGCTCCATGCCACGCTATGCTGACGCGTCTGGACGCAATACCCTCAGCGGCTTCTCCTCAGCCCACATGGGCAGCCACGGTGAGCATCCTCAGGGCGGGAGGACTTGGGAGGGTGGGGCGGCTTTTATGGAGGGCTGGCCAGCAAGGGGACAGAAGTTCTGGGGTGTGGGAGCAGGTAAGTTTCCTGAGGCCCGGCTCTGACCATTCCCCCTCAGCCAGGCTTCTTGACCTCTGCATCTTCCCTGCCCATGATCTCCAGGACCTTGATGTCACTGGACACTGTCCTCCTTCGTCCTGCTCCCCCTGCAGTGTTGCCCACGCGCCGTCCAGTCACCTTACCGCTTGGCCACCATACTTCTCATCTGTCTTGGCCCCCTGGGCCTTGTCTGCATGGTGTCCCTGTCCCCACCACGGGCCCCCTGAACATAACACTGGACCTGCTGCCCCTGGCAAATCCAGGCCCACAAGACCCTCCCTCCCTCTGATCACACCAGCCCCACCCCCTCATACACCTTCTGTCCTGCTCTGCAAGGTCCCAATAGGCCAGGGTGCAGAAGAGGCCGCAGGCCCGACAGATTGGGGGCCGCCAGGGCATGGTGCAGCGTGGTTCCCACAGGTGCTCGGGGATGCAAGAAAGTGTGTGCTGCTGCCCATGAGGGGTGGTCTGGTCTCTGGGGGGGTGACAGGCGGGGATTTTGTTGGGGGGGGTGGGCCACGTGGGTGCCTGGTGCTGGGAGAGGATTTTTAGACAGGAGACCCACCAGGGCCCGAGGGCATACAGGCGGGGAGGGGTGTGTGTCAGAATGGGCCGCTGCCTCCAGGGTCTCCCTCCAAGGCCATCACTTCTGCGTCAGGCCTACCCTGCACCTCACCCTGTCTTCCCCCCATCTCCCCTCCAAGACCCTCGTGGATGCTCTGATCCTATGTGGCTTATTCTCTCCACCCGCCTGAGAGGTGCTGGGCCTCCTTGAGGGCTGGTCCTTGGATTTATGGCTCCAGCTGCCTTCCAGCCCACGTTGTTCCTCTGTGCCTGGGGCCTGGTGTCTAGTGAGGAGCCTCTTAGTTTGTGCCTGGAGGTCTTGTCTCTCCATTGGAGGCATGAGGCCTGTGTGGCTGCCCACGCGGGGCCAGACTGTGGCCCAGTGCTGACCTAAGCCGCCCACTGCCTGTACTTGAGCAGATGTGGTGACAGTGTCCGCCTGGGAGGCTTGGTGGGATGGCTGATCTGTGCCACCGATAGCCATCCTGGCTGTCACGTGCTCAGAGTTCGGGGATGTCACATGAGGGGTCATTTCTCTGTGAGACCCTCCGCATACCTTGGCTCGTGCAGATGTTACTCCGGGGCTCACCTGCTGGCCAGGCCTTCCTGATCTCCTCCTTCCCCTCACGCTTGTCTGCGTTCTTCTCTGCTGTTGCTCTGGCCCCCAGATGCACTGGGGTTCTCACGTGGGCTGGGGGCTGGTGGCACCCTCTGTGGTCCCAACGTTCCAGAAGCCCGGGCATCGTCTTTGACTCTTCTCTCTGCCTGTCCTGAGTCCTGTGAGCTGACCACCAAGGTCTGCAGCCCTCCTTGTGGCCGACTGCCCCTATCCTGGCCCAGGCTGCTCTTGCTCATAGTACAGGGCCTCCCGGTGGCCCTGCCACTCACTCCTGTAGCAGGAGAGGCTCCGGAACACAGGAGGGCCTTCACCCCCCACCAAGTGAGGCCTGAGGAGGGCCTGCTTCCTGGCCCCTCGTTGGCTGCTGGAGCACACTCGCCTTCCCGTCCCGTGTCGCCCGCAGGCCTCAGCCTCCATCTGTTACCGCTCGCTGGGTGCTGGGGCCACAGGGGCTGGGAAGAGGGGCGGCCAGTCTGCCTTCTTGGTAGTTGATAGGGATGCTGTCCTAGAGAGGTCTGGCCTTGGCACCTCCCCTTCTGGAGGGGCACAGACCTTCCCCTTCTCATTCCTCTGCTGGAATGTTGCTGTCCAGACACCAGGGTCCGTCATTAGGCATGCTTTACCTCTGGTCACGCTGTCTCCTCTTTCTGCTCTCCAGAGATTCTGAGTGGCCCCTGCAGGCAGCGTCTTCTCCTCAGGATCCTTTGTCCTCTGGTTCCTGTGTCTTCCCTGACTGTCCCCAAAGCCCCACCGGTGCCTCTTGGTGTCCCTGAGTTCTGGGCATGGGCCACCCCCTCATTGCCCAAGGTGTATAGGGGCTCAGTTCACCTCAGCCGTATATGCGTTCCAGTCCGGCTTCTGCATCACAAGGACACACTGTCCCCGTTCTGGGTGCCTGTGCCTCTGCTCGCAGCTGGTAGGCTGGTGGTGTGCTTGCTTGTGGTGCCCTGTGCCCTCCGCAGCAGGTGAGCCTGGGGCAGGGCCAGGTGCCGGCTTTGGAGCCAGAGACCGCTGCGGAGCTTCCTCACACAGGCTCCTGTGCCTCCAGGCTGCATGGTCCCAGCCTGTCAGCCTTGGGCCCAGCCCTCACAAGTCTGCTAAGCTAGCCTTGCCGCTGGGGTTCAGGCCTACCCGTGTCCTGGACCAAACCGCTCTGCAAGGTTCCAGGCTGGGAGTTTCTAGGCTCTGGTCCTCTCCAGGCCGTGCTTCGTGGCCTCCCCTCTCCCTACGCCGGGCAGAGGACGATTGGTGGCCATGTGCCATTGAGCAGGTCAGGCAGTGACCATGGGGCTGGGGCTGCAGAGATGGGCCATAGAGGAGGCTTGGAAGAACAGCCCAGAGTCTTCCTTGTCCCTGGGCCCTCTGCTCCCCGGCCTGCCCTGGGGGCCCACAGGGCCTCGGCAGTGATCCTCACTGTATCTGGGGCCCCCAGGGTGGTTGGTGGGAACCCAGCCTCTTTGGGCCACAGCCCCCAACCCCCACACTCTGGGAACACCCCCGGGCCTTGGGCCAGGCCTGAGCCTTCTCTCTGCTGTGCCCCCAGTGCCCAGCCCCAGAGCCAGGGTCACCACGCTGTCCAACCCCATGGCGGCCTCGGCCTCCAGACGGACCGCGCCCCGAGGTACCGTACTGGCCACATAGGCCGGCTCCCCTACACCTGGCACTGATGGCCCCTATGTGACTGAGTGACCTTGGGCACTAACGTCCCCACACACCTGGCACTAACGGCCCCGTGTGACCAGCATAACCCAGCCCCCACCACAGCCCTGGGCACTAACAGCCTGATGCCCTGAGTCCCACCCTTCCCTGCCCTGGGAGCTCAGCCCCAGGCAAGTAGTGCCCCAGCCCTACTCAGGCACTCACATGGTTTCTCTGTGCAGGTAAATGGGGCAGTGTCCGGGCCGGTGGGCGCAGTGGGGGGCTCAGCAGTGATGTAGGCTCCCGGCTAGCAGGCAGAGACATGCTGAGCCCACCCCAGGCCAATGGGGCCCCCCCTGACCCAGGCTTCCTGCGGCCCCAGCGTGCAGCCCTCTACATCATTGGAGACAAAGCCCAGCTCAAGGTGACTGGGGTGGGGGCACAGGGTCAGGTAGGGGCACAGGGCCTGGGCGCATCTGACCATGGCTGGTCTCCTCCAGGGTGTGCGGCCAGACCCGCTGCAGCAGTGGGAGCTGGTGCCCATTGAGGTGTTTGAGGCACGGCAGGTGAAAGCCAGCTTCAAGAAGCTGCTGAAGGCATGTGTCCCTGGCTGTCCTGCCACTGAGCCAGGCCCAGCCTCCTTCCTGCGCTCGCTGGAAGACTCAGAGTGGCTGATTCAGGTCTCTCTATGCCCCTGCCCTCAGTGTGGGGGAGGGGGACATGGGGAGGGACTCCCTGCCTGGGTGCTGGGCCCCCACTTACCTAGAGCCAAGGCAGGCCGGGTCTTGCTTGTCCAATAGTATTGGGCTCTGGGAGGGGGTGATGGCTACTTCCTGGTGGTGGACCCAGACGGTGGAGGGAGGCCAGGCTTAGATCTGTCAGGGCTTCCACTCTCCGTCCGGGTGGGGCTGGGCACCTCAAGGACAGAGGGCACCTCTTCAGGCCCAGGAGACTTGGGCGGGTGTGGGGTAGCATGCCAGAGCATTTCGTGTCCATCCAGTGCTGTGCCTGCCTCACAGGCTGTCCCCAGGTGTGGGTCTTGGCCTGGTTGGGTGCTGGGGTCCTAGGCCAGGGCTCCAGGAGGTGCTGAGGTGCTGCTGGTCCCTGTAGATCCACAAGCTGCTGCAGGTGTCGGTGCTGGTGGTGGAGCTCCTAGACTCGGGCTCCTCGGTCCTGGTGAGCCTGGAGGACGGCTGGGACATCACCACTCAGGTGCGCAGCGGCCAGGGCGGGGGGCAGGCCAAGGACTTCCACCTGTGCCCTCCTGACGTGCGGGGGTGCTGGTAGGTGGTGTCCCTGGTGCAGCTGCTCTCAGACCCTTTCTACCGCACTCTGGAGGGCTTCCGTCTGCTGGTGGAGAAGGAGTGGCTGTCCTTTGGCCATCGCTTCAGCCACCGCGGGGCCCACACCCTGGCTGGGCAGAGCAGTGGCTTCACACCTGTCTTCCTGCAGTTTCTGGACTGCGTGCACCAGGTGAGCAGGTGGCTGTGGTAAGGGGAAGTGCATTCTGACCGCTAGCCCCTGACCCCTGACCCCGCACAGGTCCACCTACAGTTCCCCATGGAGTTCGAGTTCAGCCCATTCTACCTCAAGTTCCTTGGCTACCACCACGCGTCCCGCCGCTTCCGGACCTTCCTGCTTGACTCGGACTATGAGCGCATTGAGCTGGGTACGGGCTGCAGGGCCGGGGCCTTGGTCGTAAGGGTGCGGCATGGTCGCGGGGCGGGGCGGGGCGGG